TGTCTGCCAAAATTATTATTAGACATAAACCTTTTTGCGTTTTCTCTTCTGATTCTTCTGACTAAACCAAATTTCCTTCAGGCGACAATAGAAGAGCCAATCGTAATTTGGCTATCAGGCCTGCACATCCCCGAGTCGTACCTGATCGCGCACATTCAGATGGCGTGTCGTCTATACACGTGGGCACTGGATCGATCCACGCAGTGCACCAAAGTAACAAGTTGGGTCTCGCCCGATGAGGTCGAAGAAAGACCCGTTACTGTAAGTACTACAAAATGTTTGCAAACTGCGCCAACTTTTGTTCAAATACGCTTAGAAGTTGGTTATTCTGACTGATAAATAAGTCTCCAGATTCTACAAGTCTCTTCACTTAATTTGGGGTAACTTATATTTGTCTACAATTTTTTTGATCTCTTAAGTGAATTTGATGTAGGTACCTACTTATTATTTTTAATTATCGCAAGTATCTTCTTTTAAATGTTATGACCCCATCGAAATAATCGATGATTCCACCACCGTCAAGTAAAAATGACTGTACCTACAGTAGTTTTGTAAAAATAATATAAAAATTATGGCGGACGACGCCAATAGCAGGTCGATACCATTTATCTCCTACACAACTGTTGTTTCTGATCCATATTCTTCTTCATCGTGTCGATGGCATAGACTATAATGTTAACCATCGTATGGAGAATATATTTATTCAATCGGCGTAAGGTATTCGCCGATTGTTGCCCAGGGCGAGCCAGACATTTAGGAAAGGTATGTACGTACGTCGTGTGGGGAGCTCATTTCGTGCACTCCAATCTGTTCCATACTAACCGTATTTCTTTTATGATTATTTACAGGGCTGCTATGTACGCGGTTTGTACCTAGAAGGGTGTCGCTGGGACATCGAGGAGGGTTGCCTGAAACGCTCCCACCCCAAAATATTAGTCACCGAGCTGCCGATCATGTATATCATACCTGTTGAGTTCCATAAACTCAAGTTGCAGGTTAGTTCATTTCTACGCCCTTGACACGACTACAAAAATGACATAGTAAGTTGATGAGAAAAAAAAAGTTATTTATCTGACTTTATGTAGGTGTGAATTGTCGAAAGATGATGTGACGTTTTGAACGAGTACAACTCAATACCAACAAGCTGTCGAAAAATTTTCGTGACTGGGGCGTAGTTTCGTTATTTAATATCTCAATAGAAAGGCGGGGAAAAAACCGTTAAAAAACAACCAACAATGCCGAATGAACTAAAGACTAATCATTTGATTTGATATAAGTGGCGTAACGATCAAGTTTTAATAGCAGTAGAGAATGTGAAAGAGTTCGTCCAGGAAAGTACTGCTACCTTACCTATTTCTACCGCCAGGCAGTAATGTGATCATTAGGTACTGTATTTTGGGTTTTGAAGGGTGCTAGTGAAATTACAGGCACATGAGACTTGTCAAATTACGTCACAGGGTGACAGGCGCTGTGGCGTTGTCCCCTTCTGTAACTGCCATGGACAGACGTGTCGCTTAATACCAGGTGCACGACTTGTTTGTCCGGTCACTTGGTACCATAAAAAAGTTCTTAATGGTACGCGACACGCTTATTCACAACAGTTACAGCGCCCCTCACAGTTTTAAATAGCGAAGATCTTAGGGGCACTGCCACTGCGCCTGTTATCATAAAGCTCCAAGTGACTGTTTTACCAGCACCCTTACCCTTTAAAACCTTAATGCCAACGTTACTCAGGGAAATCTTTCACAAGCAGCTTTGCGACTACTAAAGCATTTATTATGATCACACAAAAAGGCCATTAAAAACAAGAAACAAAGATCTGCAACAAACACATAGTAAGGGAGACGTACCAAATATTGGATACGTGCACAATACTGGATACCCCGCTATAATGAAAACTAAACAACACCACCTTTATTTAAAAACTAAAACTACTTCGTAATGTAAGTTGCTAATATTTTGTTAGTTGCCTGCGCCGTTTTTGCCTTCAGATCGCTGTCAACATTCAAAGCGTATTTTTCCGTTCGATGATTATTTCAGATCTTGACTTCAAAACGCTGTTAAAGTACTGTAAGTGATATTATGTTTTGTGACAGTGTTGTATACTAGCTATGCGCAAATTAGAATACAGAACTTAAGACATTTTAGGGATAATAGCGCAGGGTGAAGTTTTCGTAACCGGTTAATGTACAAATATAGGTAGTTACCTCAATATTGGACACCTATGTATCCACAATACTAGATTATTATTATTATTAAGAAATAGATACAGAAAAAAATACAAAAATTTGTGTTGCTAACGGTGTAACAAAAACCATTTTTGGTTTGACCGTACACCGGCATTCACCATCTAGTTTACACTTTAAAGTTACAAAAAAAAAAATAAGAAAACGATTAAAAAGAATGACAATAACTACATTCTCTATTAATAACATTTCCAGTACAAATTATTAACAAAAAATAAGAAAGAATAAAAATGTGGGCGGGTATCAATTAGTTCGCGTCATAACGCACCAATACATCACACATTCCAGTCAAGAAGATATCCGATATTGGAGTACCTACATCACTGGTTGTGTAGTGTCTTTCATATTTCAATGTTTAATTTTTTGTTTAGATGGGGGATCATTAAAAAAGATGACCGTTTAGATTATTTTGCCTAATGCTTTTGCAAATTTAAAAGGATCTTTTAAATACATGCCCTGGTTGATTGAGTGTACACTATACTGTATATCCAATATTGAATAGTATAATACCCTGTACTGGATATCCATTATTAGGGTACATGTGAAAACATCGTTGATTTTTCTAATTAAAAGATAATAATTAAAATAAATAATAACATAAAAATAATTATATAAAAAATATGTGAACATAGATATCAGTTTAATTCATTTTCTAATGTAAAGTCTTTAGATAGACAATGACTGTGACTGCAATAAATATATATATTTTTTATATTAGTGTTTTTTTCGAATGTTCAAAAAGTATCCGATATTTGGAACGTCTCCCCCAAAGTTCGTAAGATCTGCTGGTTCTTTCGTTAAGAACGTGGGGAGAGCATCTGGCACCTATGTATTATGGTTACCTATATCTGCCGCCAAGCAGTAATGTGAGCATTCCTGCGTTCCGGTTTTAGGGCAAGGGTGCTGGTGAAATTACAGGCACATGTCTTGTCAACTTATGTCTCGGGGTGACGGGCGCAGTGGCAGTGCCCCTCAGATCTTTATGATGTTTAGCTCTGAGTGGCATTGCAAGTGTTATGAATAGGTGTGTGGCTTACCATAAAAAAAAGGCACGGTATACTGAAGGCGTTGGTTCGAATCCAGCTGGATCGAAGGGATTTTCCTTAATGATCGATTTTTGTATTAATGACCAATTAACACAGAATGTTGGATCCTTATTCTTATTTTACAGAATACATTAAAAACGCCAGTGTACACGACGTCAACGCGGCGCAACGCAATGGGTGTTGGGCTCGTATTTGAATCAGATTTGTGGACTGCCGAACATTGCAGCCATTGGGTCCTGCAGGGCGTATGCCTTGTTTTGAACACCGATGATTAAGCAGATTGTGTTATGCTTTTCTACTGCTATTTTAATCTTATTTATCGTTTTCACATTATAGTGAGTTTGGTATTAACAATGTACTACATTATGTCATATCAAATTCATATACCCATTACCGGTGGACCATTACATTTTTACTTTAGCGTTAAAATGGTACGTATCAAGAATGAAAAGCATTTATTGCAACGCAGCATAAAGAATACAAATTTCAACAACATAGGGGTTTGTATTTTTTTGGTGTGTGTTACACGATAACCTACTCCGATATTTGTCAACCAATTTTGTTTTTTGTTGGTATGGGGGTACCTCAGTAGTATTACAACTCAAAGAAAAACATATTCCGTCTCTAAGGGCACGTTCCGATTATGTCATGACGACAGGTAGTCGTGCAGTTTAAAGTGTCGTGGTTTTTATATTTAAAAGAAGTTGTTCACATATAACACTATTAACTGTCGTTCATGACTTTTGACATTACGACGACAGACTGTTGTGATAATGGGAAGAGCTATAGAACGACAGTCGTCAGACGATAAACAAAATAACACGATAAAAATGTACAGATAATTAATCGCAGCTTCAAACGATTCTGTCGTGCAAACGACGAGGCGGCTGCCATGAACCGATAAATTGTCGTCACGATCTAGTGGAAACAGTTAGACACAACAGTCGTTCAACGATAAAAGAAACGTCCACGACACAGTCATGGTATGGGAACAGGCTAGACGCGACAGTCGTCCACCGACAAATAAAACGTTACGACATAATGGGAACGCGCCCTAAGGGTGGAAAATTGGGGATGAATCCAGTTTATTTCACCCATTTTCCGTGAACCGATTTCAACAAAACAAACTTAGGTCAGTTTTGTTTAAAGTTACATAGGCATTACATAGACCGGGTCGGTATCATAACGATTATAACTTCAAAATGACCGAAATTAATTTGACGATCTCATTGGCTTAGCGGTTTGCATTGTGGACGCTGGATGAGTGGGCCCCGGGTTAGATTTCAAGTAAGACCAATTTGGGAAATTAAATTTTTTAGTTTCCGGTCCGGGTGTTCTGGGTATTGCGCCGGAGTCAATTACGTTGCTCTGATAATCATAGGGTAACCCCTAGTTTGAGACCAGGTAATGTGGTTGTCTGATACACATATTGATTCTGCTGACAATCAACCCTGGAATTATTTATCTAGTGCGTAGGTTCCCAAACTCTTTGGGTTACCGCCCATATAGGTAAGATAAAAAAATTTCAACGTCTACCACCATACAAACTAATTGAAAACATGTATTTTTTTTTTATATTGACAACATAAAAATCACAAGGAAAAAAGTATATATTTGTAGTGTATATATAATTCAAATGTGGTAGCACCCCCTGCATCAACCCCCTAATTGCTTCCGAGGCCACTTTGGGAAACTATGATGTAGTGCCTAAAGTTCAAACCGTTGGTCCACCGAGGTCGTCTAATATTTATATACTTATTAAAATACCTCCAACAGCATACAATATGTGACGAACAGAATTAATTTTGGAATTAAAATCTTCTACTCAATGTTAATTTTCTGCTAGTCAGTAGTCACTAGTCAAAATACATACTCAGATATATGAATTTACTTGTTCTAATAAGATAGCTAGGGCTGGTAGCTGTAAACTTACCTAACTGGGTGACGAAATACTTTCATAGATGGCGTTACGGCTACAAAGTTGTTGAAAACCAAATACAAAGATCCGACAAGCACAGAAAAACTCGTGAGCTACGTTCCGTGGCTTAGTTGGCATGGCGTGTGGCACGGTTTGCTAGAAGATGTTGGTTCGAATCCGACCGGATCGAAGACATTTTCTCTAAGTGTTCGATCTTTGTATTATTATTTATAAAATACAAAACGTTTAAGAAATGATAAGCCGAAAATATAGTTAAACAATTTATTATCTGACCCGTGACAAGTAGCGGAATTTTAAGATAAAATTGAATCACTCACAGATAATACAGTTCGATGTCAAAAGTCAATACCAACGTTAACATTTCAAGGTTCAACCGTAACTTGCTAATCAAACAATTTGGCATTCGAAGTTTTGTTTCCACGTGACTTTGCAGTATTTTATCAATATTAAGATCAATTTTAGATTTTAATTTTGAATAAAAACTGAATATTTTTTTAACCTTTATTGTATAATTGAATTATGTTAAATAAATAAACTATAAAATCTTGCTTCTGGCTTTTACTTGTGGCAGACATAGGTTGTAGAAAGATGAGCTGATGAAGTTATTTAGAGGCTGCCATTTTACCCAGCCTTTATTTTGGAGAAATTCCTTTGTTTGTTCTTTTCCAACATAATGAGGATCCTGGAATACACAAGAAACATTCAGGTATTTTGAGATAACGAAAAAATACACACACGGGTAAATTTAGCAGAACAAAAAAGTGAACATAAAATAGTAACGTTGTTTAAATTAATAGGAATTAAAATAATTATATTAACATTTAGTAGTCTTACTCAAGCTTTATTGAAAAAAAAAAAAAAGATCTTAACACATTCGCGCGAGCTCCGTGCAATGCCGCCCTGAACATTTGTGTGAAATAGAACATCGTACCAGTACGTAGTTTAATTTCTTTTATTTCATCGAACAACGTAAGAGAACTCTATTTGGCCATACAAAATGTTAATAGTGACGTCATTGCTCTACAACATATCAAAATATTAAACCTGTAGCGACGCGCAGTACAGAAATCTCACAGGATAAGTAAGGACTTTTCATACATATCAATGATCGCTGGCATACACGCGCACCGTCAGAGGTTTACGGACGTCAACTTTTATTGACGGCAGTATCATTATTTTTAGAAGAAACATTTATAAACGTTTACATTAATGTACGGGATAAATATCTGCCACAGCGTATCAATCGGCACGATAGTCGTGCGAATTTTTTTAACAACATGCATGTTTTAAATTTTGTGACAAAGCAGAAACAGCTGAAAATTTGAAAATAATATTGATTTTGAACAAAGTTACTTTACGAAATTTTATAATCAAACTACTCGAGAAATCTGTAGGTATTAGAAGAACATTAAAAGAAATGAATGAACACAATGACAATAAATTATTTTTTTATTTTCAATGTCTGTAAAATAAAGTAAAATAATTAGCCAAACTTTTGAAAAAAATTGCATTATTTTGAAGAATTTACTAGTGTTCCGTAAAATGTGGCAGTGTGTGTAGTTACAATAGCGTTTGAATTTATTTATTTATTACATTTAAAGCCCAAAAAAAACAAAACATTCCAGTATAACATAAACTTAACTAAGTTTTTCCGTATACCGCTCATTCGTCGTACAAATAATTTCTATGTGTAGCGTTCGTACTGCTGCGTGTTGACTTTCCTCTAGTGTGCGTGATAGTCGTTAATAAAGGGTGTCGCTAAACCTTGATCCTTGTATGTACATCCCACCGCTGAACACGATTATTACGAATTATTATTGCGTTAAGAGAAGGAACACAGGCAGCATCAAAACTCGACCTAAAATATCCACAAAATGATTTTGCCTAAACTTTTAGAGTTCTCGAAATATGAACTGTAATACATTTAATAAAAGTTAACCTTACGTTTATTTGCAATCCTAAGTGAACCTTGAATTTATTACCTTAGTTGTCAAATGTGAGACGGTTTGTGTTTACAATAATAATAAAGAATCTAAAAGCTAACAGGTACATGCAATAACATTTAATAAGTTTTTTTATTTATATTAAAAAACGAAATTTTAAGCGTTAAAGCACTTTTTCATACGAATAAACCAATTTTGAAAATATTTATGCCACTCCTCCGTGACAATCTCATATTTTTCATACTCTTCGACAGCCTCTTCAGGTGATGAAAATCGTTGACCGCGTAACTGGTTCTTAATTTTTGGAAATAAATAAGTCATTAGGTGCCAGATCGGGACTGTACGCGGGATGACTCATAAGGTCAACGTTGTTCACCTTCAAAAATTCATTTGTCTGTCCGGCCGTGTGAGAACTGGCATTATCGTAGTGTAAGGTGATACGATGATTATGCGTTTACGGCTATTTTCACAGTGCGTTTGTCAAAAACTTCCGGCAAACAAATGGTCGTGTATCAATCACTATTTACATTACAACGATTCTCCAAAGCAATAGTAGCCACGTGTCCAGTTTTATTAAAAAAAGAAGCAATCATCTTTGCACGCGCGCCTCTTTGGTTGGTTTCGGCTCATCTCGAAAGACCCATACGGTTGATTGCTGTTTTGTTTTGAGAGCCTAACTATAAATCCATGTTTCGTCACCTGTTACTATGTCCCACATCAAATTTGACGCCCCTTCGTTGAATCTGGTAAGCATGGTATTGGCATCAAGTGACGCGATCCGTTTTTTGAGCCTCAGTCAATTGTATGGGATCTACCGATAGCACAGCTTTTTCACACCCAACTGTTGGTGTAGTATTGATTGTATTTGACTCATACCTATGCCTAAAGATGCCCGAATCTCATGATATGTCACATGCCTGTCTGTTTTGATCATACAGCGCACAGCATTGATGTTTTTGTTGTTCACAGCAGTGGACGGGTGACCATCACGAAATTCGTCACTGAGATTCACACGACCGCGTTTGAATTCTGCAAACCAGCTATAAACAGTCGTCTTGCATCGCCAAAAGCAGTTTGAAGCCGAGCGAAGCTCCGCTGAGCTGTTGAATTACGCTTTACTACGAAAATTTTCGCGAGTTAAAGCCATGGTGATGTAGACAACCAATTTCTAAAATAACGCCACAATGTCAAAACAAGTGACAGTCAGATGAAACAAACTGTATTCTACAGCCAAAGAGTTTCATTTTCAAATGTTGTAATTACATTTTAAATATTGTTTATGTAAGTGGCCAGTTCAGGAAACTTATAAGTGCGTCTTATGTAATAAATAAACAATTGCACGGAAACTATTGATTTTTGTGAATTTTTAAATATCTTGTGTTATGTAGAAATATTAATTTCTTACCACAATCAACAAACTGGCATCATCACCAAGTCTGATCCCCATAACACCTTTGGAAGAAGCATCTATGTCTCCGCCCATCATTATAGGGCTTCCAAAAGTAGTGAAGTGTATTTTCAGGGTTTCCACTATGGAGTTCAACTCTTCACCTTTGTTTACATGAACGATTTTGCATGGAACGTCGTACAGTTTGTCTATAATCAGGCAGACCTGTAAGGTGACGAGTAAATCATTATAGGCAAAAAATGAACTGAAAATGCATTGTTTTTAATATTATAATGATTTTTTGAGGGCCAGTGTAAACCGTCATCATTGACCAGTAATTGATATATTGTTATACAAAGTACCACTAATTACATTTCAACAGACTTAAAGAACTGAAGGATTATTTTTTTATTTGTTTGAATCCCCCCAGTGGAGACGTGTGGCTGCCCAGTAGCGAGTAATCAAGGGACAGCACTGGGTAAGTAGAGGAGTTTCATCCACTTCATGGCTGCATCTACACATAGTATAATAAAACAAGTGGTATAATAAGTCTAGAATATTGAGAGTTTAATCTTAAGTGATCAGGACATTATGTTTAGACTATCTTACTTCAAAACTACCAATCCACTGGCGAGAATTAAGAAAGCTTTTAGGCTTATCCTCCATTTCAACTAACATTTCCTGTATTTCTCTTATTGTTGGAACAGCATGGCTGCTCTGTGCATGATTGTGGTTCATCCAGGAACATATTGTTTGCAGTGTTCTATAGCCACAGCCCCAACCCTGAAGGCAGAAAAGATATTTATTAAAATAATATAATAATAATTTGCCAGATTACTGATAACTATGGAATTAGGGTCTCAAATTAGGGCATTCCTTATAATATGTACCAGAGCAATGGAATTCACTGCAAGGCACTACTGGGAACACCCAAACCCGTATTAATACAGAATAGCTACATTGGTCCTACCTGGAATTTATCCCAAGATCTCCTCATCTGGACGAGTGATAGATCTTGGGATAGATTCCCAGTCTTGCAAGCTTTGCATGCAAGCAGAAAGCCAGCATTGCAAGCTGTTCAGCTACCGAGGTAGACAATGAGGGATTATTATAATATTTGTCATGGATTCCATTTTTTATGGAGACCTATTCTCAGTGGATTATAATAGGAATAGATTGATTTTGTAGTGGTTCTAGTGATATTCTAGCATTTCTTTTAAAAGAAGAACTTTTAGAAAATATGACACAGTAACCTACATATTGAAAATGTTGTGGATGGACAGAGTATACAATGAAAAAGTATTGCAGATGGGGTATAAGAAGAAAATGCAAGCTACAGCACTTTGGTCATATAATGTGCAATGATAGATACGACCTACTCCAATTAATTATGCAAGGAAAAATCCAGGCAAAACAACCACCTGGAAGAAGACATACTTCGTGGCTTAAGAATCTCCGGACATGGTTCAGCTTGAGCATAAGATCCTTGTTCCGTGCAACTGTGTCTAAAATACGGATAGCCTTAATGCTCGCTGACCCCCCATGGAAGATGGCACCTCAAGATGAAGAACTTACCATAGAGTCCCTTTTTATTAGGAACGTGTGCATAGTATTGTGTTATTACTGTTATTCTTGTTTTAATGAGCAAATAAGAGTACTTGTTAAAATATATTTATTTATCAAACAAATTTGAATGTGCAATGTGTGGGACTTCGAGTATATAACCAGAAATAGAGGCGAAATGTCATTTAATTTGTTTGAAAATTATTCTGCTGTAATGACATTACTGTGACAACTGCGCTCCGATTGTCTAGCCCGATTTCGAAACAATAGACAGGTGTTGTTAATGGGTGTCGTCAACTGTTTCACTTCTTATCGACCAGTTAACTTGAGCTTTGCTATAATGTACGAAAATTGTAAATACTTAATTTACAATTTTCGTAAATTACATATTTAATTATCAATTAAATTTGATTCCATTTGTTTTGTAATTAGATGTTTTGCTGTTTTTCCCACACCACCAAATAGAACAGCATGGCATTGTTAGAGTATTATCTTTATTACAATAAATACAGAATATTTTTTGGGATATACATACAGGTCAGTAGTTGGCCTGTCTATATTTCAGTGCAAACGGGAGTTGATATTTAGAAGAGCTGTATCGCTAATGTGTTACCAGGAATATATGGCCCTTATTTCGTCTCTATTTCTGGCTATATACTCGATGGTGTGGGATGACAGTAGTTATAGCGGCAAACCTAAGAAAAAATCTTTGGCAAAGGTTTATGAATTATCCAGCCATTATTGTAATTACTGTAATAATTACACTCCTGGACTTAGAAGTGCCTTATGCTTAGACTTAGACAATGTTTGATTAATCAAAAAAATATTATGCAATTTTGAAACAGGTATACTTAACGTCATTTCCATAACTCCTTAATGAAAATTTCTTTTCGTAAAACCGAGAAAACTTTCTTTGTTACTAACAACATTTTATTCAAGCTCTATACGAATAAACATGCAAGGTGGCTCTATTAATGTATCTGGGAGTATTTATAAGGATAAAAACTGATGTGGTAGGAGTGATGATAAAGTGTAAAAATGAAAAACATTAATTAGGTATAATAACTTTACGAACAACTAAACATAACCTATAATCGTTCAAGTTCGAAAAGCATGTTAAAAGTAATTGTACTCACTCTATCGTCAAAATCATCGCATAAATAATGATAATATTCATAATCACCAGCCACTAAATATGTTTTTTCATGGAAATTATGAAAATCCGAACCTTCGTGTACATTTGTCAATAAAGCTGAGATTGACATTTTGAGAATATTGCCAGTTTTTAAATTGCCACCTCGAAAAAAAGATTTTAACAAAACAGAAAAAAACGCAAAAATAAGCGATTAGGATCATTGAAAAAAATGTGTAAGAATCTAAGAACTAGACAAAAACAGAAAAATCGATAAACTCAGTTGAAATATTCTGTTCAAATTAGACATAGGTAACTAATTAATTATTGCAGGTCATTATTGCGATCGACTATTCCAAATTAATATGAAAGGATGGTTGTACAAACCATAATCCTGTTTTTTTACGATAGCAAGTGACGGGACGAACATACAACTCGTGCGCCTGCCGCCTGGTGGTAAGCGACACACCTATCCATAACAGTTGTAGTGCCATTCAGAGCTTTGAATCGCGAAGATCCTATGGGCACCTTCAAAACCGGAAGGCAGTAATACTCACATTACCGCTTGGCGGCAGAAGTACCTAGGTAAGCTGGCAATACTTCCATGGATCAATTTTTCACAAGGAGCTCGACTGCTACTAATTATTTATTATTATTAATTAGTGTGTAGTTGTCCGTCCTTACTTCTAAAAATAAATAAAAAACTTACCTACGTTTATATCACTTTTGATTTCGGCTCCTAATATAGGCACGATTTACATTGTCACCAATGGAATAGAAATGAATTAATATTGTAACGAAATTGTACCTATACTTAATGGACTTTATGACTACAAACTAGATAGCTATGATACAATAGTTGTGCGAATTCCCGCGACTGCGCGAGAATTCTCAAGAAAACTCGGGACCTGTTTTGTTGGCTCGTACCTATTTAGTTTGTATTTTACACAATTAACATAAAGTCCATTACGCATAGGTATGTTGTTAAGTAATTATGCTACATGATGTAAGAAGGCACTTCAGTGTAATTCCAGAACAATGAACTATGTATTGAAGAGACAAAGTTCTATTTACTTAAGTATTTTACAAGTAAGTGACGAAATTAGCATCTTCTTCTTTAGATTTTTGTAGTAAGGTTAATGTGGGGATTTACTGAGTAATTTTAATGACACAACAGGCGAGAAGAGGATCGCAGATCAAAGATTTTGGGCCAGCACTCAATTTACAGACGGCCATGCCACGCTTGGTCGGTCAAGCAAGCAAGTGAGGTTTACGAATCTCGCGCTATACATCTTGAATTTCGAATGGTATATTTTGGCATAGGACCTTAGTAATTTATAAACAAAATTGGCGGGAAATTATTAGTCAATATTTTTTTATCAGAAATTTGTATTTGTCTGGCGTAGTCAAAATGGAATTTATAGGCAATATTAGGCATCCTATTGAATTCCGATAAGATTTTAAGGGATTTTTAAGTTAATAAAAAATTTAAAACCAGGAAGAAATCTTAAGTTTCTGACTGTATCCGGAAATTAAATTAACGCACACACTCATAACCCCACACCAGGGAAACCCTGTGTCGCGGGCGCCATGAACACATACATAAACAATAAAAAATTACACACAAACTTACGATAGAATTAAATGTAGACCATACAAATATTTTTT